CTTGTGTCCCTGTCAGATAGGGGAACATGAAGTAGACAAACTGTGTGTTATCATCAAATACACTGTAAAATAAACAGGAGTGTCTGATACACACAAACTTTCTATACATAGACCATAGTGGATCACACGTGGAGATTTATGGGGTCATTAGAAATCTTGTTAGTTGGAAAATTTGGTCACTCTGATACTTAAGGAAATGTGGGAAAGATGATAAAGGATTCTTCTTTCAATTCTTTATGCTTCAATTCTTCATGCTTAAAGCTTTACTGAGCTAGGGTTTTATAAATATCTGAACAAATTCATAGGTTCACAACTTTTAAGAGTTTGTGTTCTTAGTACAGAAGGCATGGATCTCATTGTCACATGTAACAACAGATTGGGTTTTTAGTTAGTTTCATAGTTATAAGAGCCCTGAGCACCTGCTGGTTCTGGTTCTGTCCTTGTAAAGAATCATTAGTGCTGCTCATCTTGGGGGCTGATGATGGAAATAGGTTTTTGGCTCTGGAAATGTGCTTTCCCTTCACAATAGCATGCATTTTTATTCTTAATTTTTCTGGGGTCTTAGAGTTCTGAATCTCTTCCTGGTGGTGTACTTCTCTATCTGGTGAGTTTACCACTCAAACAGCATTCCCACTGGGACTTCTGTGGACCCCTGGAACATAAGCCCATCTAAGAGATAAAATATTGAAGTGCTTTGGCTTACACTCAGTGGTTAAATAGGAAATATTAGATTGTAACTTTTTTGAAAAGCAAAAGAAGATCTAGTTACCCAGACTTTTTTAATGCCCTGGGTTGTTCACTCAATAGTCAGTAAAAGCTGGTCCAGTCCCCTGTTTGGTTTCAAGGACAATCTGGAATTAGATCACCATCCTTAGAGGAAGTTCTATTATGGAAAACGAGATGATAAAATAGGGTTTATTGGGCCAGTAGACAGCTCCACCAGAGTAGTAAACACTGAAGAATGTGACTAGGCATAGCCCTAGGGGTTTTATTTCTCTGGTGGTAACTGAAAATTTTTTCCAAGCCTGTGACTGAAAGTAAAGCAGCTTTTGATATCATTCTACATGCTATGTGGACTGAAAGAAAGTACAGTAATGGCAAGATATACCAAAATAAAATTTAAGGATTTGCAGAGCAATGGCATGACTATACTGTCTGCTGTTTCAAAGTGACCAGAACACCCAAAAGATGCCATCTGTGGAATCCTGTGCCTGCAGAGCTATGAGTCACCCTCTCCAAATGAATAGCGAATATCCCTAACAAGATACTCTCAAAATTTGATTGGGACCCCGTTTTACTTTAGTTAGAAGATGAAGGAAGGAGAGTCTAAGAGTTAGCTCCTTCTGCCCTCAGTCTAAGGGAGAGGATTTTGAACTGTGTAGCAGAAGCAGGAAACTAAGAAATAGGCACAGGCTACAGGTCTTCTGTATTTCAGCATGAACAATTCTCTTTTGGTCTGTTCTATTTTTGATTGTTTGTTTGTTCTAAAAAAAATCTCTTTGTAAGAAAACTACTTTCCTAGAGGAAACTCCTAAAACCAATGGCACTGTCCAGATCTGGGGAAATCTTAAGATAGAATATTTGGCATAACTGCTTGGTAGCCAGTTGACATTCCTTACTCTGGGTAGGCCTTACATCAGGAAGCCTGATTCTTTAGAGGATTAACAGAATTGTATTATGGTAGTATATTTCTGATGATCCCAAGTTCCTCATGGCAGAGGATACATATGTCTTAAGGGAGAGCACATCATTCTCAAGAGTTATAGCTGCAACTGGGAGAAAGAACAGAAACAGACAGAACAGAATGATTATAGCTGCAATAGGAACAGAACCAGGTTGGAGCAAATCTGCCAAGCAGATCTGTGGGCAGCTCTAGAGTAAATGCTTGCTGGACTTCTCTGGCACACTGGGTATGATCTCCACACTGGGCACCTGGCCACGGGGCTGCAGAATGGATGGCAGTGGACAGAAGGTCATTGGAAAGGAAAAGGTATTCATGTGTGGGACAGTGAAGTACAAGGTTAAATCACTACAACCTGGCCTGAAACAAAGCAAGACTGTCCATCCTAGTGTCTCTACGCTGGGTCAAATTACAAATTGTGGAAAATAACAGGAAGGACCTAAAGGAGGCTGGTCACAGTAGTGAATGTCAAGCCACTCCGTAGAGAGATGACCATGGGCTATATTAAATTCATGTATCCCTGGAATCTAAAGTTGTCAACTTTTTCCAATACTAACAGAGCACAATGAGAAGAAAGGTCAGGAGGCAAATTTGAGATCTTATAGCCACAGGACTAATGGTAGATACCAGTTGCTTGTTTTTTTTCCCAGCCTTTTAATCCCTATTCAGTTGCATGAATCTTAAAAAATTTATGCTGTACTCCAGGGAGCTGTATATTCCAGCAACACATGAAGTTTGCTATCTTTATTTTAAATAGAAATAACCATCCTCCCACAATACTCTTAATAATTGAAGCATCAGTGTATTAGAGCATTTTGTCTTTAAACCTGCACATCACATCTCTCCTAGTTTAGGCCAAACATTACCAGTTAAGTACTGCCTTGTTGTCTGTCCAAGTGCCCCAGATGATCTCAGGGATCCTAGTCACATCTCCTTCATGAGTCAGAATGGTCCTCTGGACCATCTTTCATGAGCATTAAACCTCCCATTATCAGAGCTGGCTTTCTTAGATCTAGAAACCAAATAGCAGGATTAATTTGAGATATGAACTCATGTGGTTACATCTCTAACATCAGTTCATCTTGAAATAATATACAGTAGACAGATGTCTTCAGGCCTGATGCTCTACAAGGAAAACTATGCTCGCTTGACTCTTCTTGGGAACAAGACCTCTCTCTTCTCTTGAAATTCCCCATTCAGAAGTTACAGTCTTCCACTTTTTCCCACAAGCTACTGCTCAAATACCTGTTTCTAAACACCAGAACAGAGAAATTCTCTTTCAAGTTTAAGTCTGCATAGGCACTGAACAAGCAAGTTGAAGACCAAGAAAGAAAAGTGCAGTTGGTGAACGAAAGCTTGGCTCCTATGCAGATTTACTGTAGTCTCCAGCCTTTGCCTCCTGGGGTAGAAGAGCTTGAAGCTTTTGGGTGATGACATCCGTTTCTCTTTTAGGCTCTAGCTGGGCACCATCAGTTCCCATTGCCAAACCATTGCAGTTTGGGTAACACCTGCCTCTTTTACTCAGTTAGTGGGATAGGAAGACCAGGGGTGCACTTAGAACTGAGGGCCTGAGAGGACAGTCACTGATGAGCAAAGCCCAGCAGCTTGTCTTTGCCTTGTACTTAGCCCGTGCTCCCCCAGGACCTGCCCACTCCTCTGTGTGCAGGGCCATCCATATGGTCCTCTGGGGAAAGGGATTCCAGGTAGGGGAAAGGAAGGGCTGCTGTCTAGGGGATGACTGGGCCGGAACTTCCCAAAGGATGTTGGTTGAGTACAGGGTAGAAGGAGTCTGCTAGCTGGGTAGGTAGGGAGGGGACTCCAGGGTCCCCACACTAGGGGAAGCTCCTTTACCTTGATGGAGGCCAGGCTGGGGAAGGAGGTCAGGCAAGGTGGAGCTATAATTCCTCCAGCACCCTGGCTCTCCGCCTGTTTTCCTAGGATGAAATTCTCTACATCATTCTCCTCAGTTTCAACCCCTCCCATCTCCACCCCGCCCCGCCCTGTGCCCATCCCTGCTGGCCAGTGGGTCCATCGCCCAGGAGCCGCCTCCCCTTTCTCCTCCCCTGCGGTTCTTTCTGTGTTTCGTTGGCATCTGGCCGGGCACAGCCGCCACCCTCCCCCCATGCTCCCCACCTCCCCTCACTCCGCAGAGGTCCCGTTCCCCTTCCCCTCCCCCCACCGGCCCACCTCCGACGGAGGCGGAGGGAGGGAGCGAGGGAGGAAGGAGGATACATTCCTTCAGTCCCTCTGCTTGCCCTCCCTCCCCTGGGGACCTGAGGCTCGGAGCTCAGGCTGGAGCCCTGGTCACCTTACTAACTGCCCCAGTGGCACCCTGTTAACTGTAAGCAGTCTTTAGTAAGGCTGAGGTGCCCCCACAGCGCTGACCTACATAGCCTGCCGGGCGGGAGGGGCTCTTCCCCAAGTCCCCTGGCCCCGGCCCCGCCTCCTTTCTCCCCCGACTCCCTGGCTGTCTCTACCATTACAAACCCCAGGCGGTTTGAGTTGCAGACTGGGGCAAAGGGACTAGGTGTGATACCCCACCCCAAATTTGGGAAAATCTTTGCTAAGCCTAGGAATGCCGTAGGTTTTCCTTGCGTTTTCCATCCCAAATATCTTGATCACAGCTTTTGCTCAAACTACCCACTCTTGCCGACCCCCCACATTCCCCTCGCCAGGCATACAGCCCAACTGGGGGGCACTGCCCTGTGCTGTTGTTTTGCTCCGAGGCAAAGCCCCTTCTGTGCGCACGCCCCCCTCAGCCGCCTCACCCAGGCCCCCTTCCTGCCCTCTCGCAGCTCAGCCGCGGGTGGGGGACGCTCTGGGAGAAGAAATGTTTGCATACAGCAGTTTGGGGGGGGGGTCGTCGCTCTGGCCACCCAACCCTTACAGATATACACACACAAACACCCGACACACGCCCTGACTGAAGCAGCGACAGCTCTCACTCCGCCCCCAACACACACTGACACAGACATACACACAGATCCTGACAAACGCAGGACCAGACAGCAACACAGACGCGCACACCCAGACGCGCACAGCACACGGACATCAACACATCCAGACCCCGGGCTGCTCACCAAGGACCCGGCCTGGTTCCAGACCCTGGTGCTCACGCAGACCTCTCAACGTTGTACACGGGGTGCACACGCCGGCACACCCCACGGTCCACAGAGATAGAGATGCTCTGAGACAGACACCGGGCTGTTCCAGCCCCTGGCGACTTTAACCCCCCAGTGCGAAACAAAGCAGTCAGGCTCTCACGCCCACTTCCACCCTCGGTTGCCCCCTCCCCTGGCGCCCCCCACCCCCCACTCACCGTCCTGGGAGAGGTTGGCCCCAGCGGGCGCCCAGCAGCAGGCGAGGAGCAGGAGCAGGGGCACGGCGGAGGGGGCCCCCATCGCGCTTCCCGGCAGCTCCCGGCTGGGCGCTGCGAGCCTGGGTCTCCGGGGGCCTGGGGGGCGGGGGTGTGGGCGACGCCGCTGGCCGAAAGGGCGCCCCGAGCCGCTTCCAAGCCCGGGGCCGAGGCGGGGACCGGGAGGGAGCCGGCGCTGCTGCAGTCGCGGGGATTAAATAGGGAGCTCGGAGCAAACCATTCGGATAGCGGTGGAGGGGGGTGGCGGGGGGCTGGGCTGGTCGCGGGGGGGTGGCAGGCTGCCGCATTCCCCACTCGCCCCCACCTCCCACACCCCCTCGCGTATCGGTGGTGCCTTCGGTCCAGTCCCCCGGGAGCTCCGCCAGCACTAGCCGGGTTGTGGGTAGAGGGAGGGAGCCGGCTCAGCGGTGGGACCCCGCGCTCACCCCACTTTGGCTTGGGGTGGAGGGAGGGGGGTCTGGTAGGGCGGTGGGCCAGCTGGCGAGAGCGGCTACTGCAGGCCTGGGCAAGGGCGTGCCCACAGTCAGAGGTCCTCCAGCTCCCGCCTTTTAGGTAGCTGGAGATGCCCAGAAGCCTCAGGGACCCCCTGTCAATTATGTGTCCAGAGTAACCAGTTACTCTCACCAACCCGAACATCTTTGGTTCCTCCCACCCCCGCGCTCCTACTTCTCGGTCCAGAAACAATTTATGGCCCTGGGCGATCCCTCTTGAGAAGCGCCTTCCTCAGGAGACCCCAGGCCATGGGAACCAGTCTCTCTCTCAATTCCTTGTCAAATAAATTTCCTTCTGAGAATACGATTTCACCTCAGAATCTCACCCAACCAAGACGCCCACAAAGCAACTCGGTAGTTTCTTCCTTAACTCTTTCTCTGTTACACACCTGCAACACCAGCCTTTCCAACGTCGTTTCTTCTTTCAGTAGATCTTGTTTTTCCTTCCCAAGTCTTTAGCCAGATCCCAGGTGAATGTCTCATCCACAGACCCTCTCAAGGACCAGCACATCTGTGACTAATTCAGCTCTTGTCCCTGAGGCTAGACTCAAGATGGATGAGAGAAGCACGGTGTTTGCACTCACTCTTGGGCTCCAGAGTCCCAATTCCCTAGTGTTTGCTGTTGTTTGTGATTGTTACTGGGAGCATTTTTGGTACCTCTCGAAAAGGGGACTTTTTGAGTCAGTTTTGTTAAAACTTAGTTTTTGGGAATAAATTTCAAAATTTTGGGAGTGCCAACATCATAGAATTTTAGGTAGGTTGAGTTCTAAGAAAATAATTGATTGAACCCCATAATTACACATACACAGTTAAACCCATCTACCTAACGTAATACGGAGAGACAATGGGAAAAGTGACAAGGGTTGGCAGAGGCAGGAAACACTGATTTTATAGTGCTTTCCAACACTGTGAAGCTAATATTTCTGTCCCTAAAGAGTTTAGGTGCCTATCTTCTAACTCTGCAGTTGAATCTAACTGAGCTGATAACTTTTTTTTTTTAACCTTAATTTTTTTTTTTTTTCTGTATTCAGTACAGGGTCTACAGGGTCTCACTACACAGCTTGGATTTGTAGTGATTCTCCTGTTTTCAGCTCCCAAGTGCTGGGATTGCAGGCACTCCACACCACACCCAGTCTCAATCCCCTCTCATTGTGTCCCATGGGTGGGGCAGCATGGCCACCAGGGATCAAACCGCTGCTGCTTCTGCTGCTGCCGCACTCTGCCTAAGCAGGCACTTTAGTCCGCTGAGCTATCAGGCCGGTCCTTGAGCTGATGACTTCTTCATTGTATTGATCTTTAATGTTTTAGATAACCTGTCCGTCTCTAGGATAGGTTTCTTAATTCCTCTGGTGTAAAATCCCTGTCACTTAGAAACACAAGGGCAAGGATGAAGAAAGTACTTTGTAAACAATAAAGCTGCTTATAATTGTCAGTGATGGAGACAAGCCAAGAGAGGATATTCTCTGAGGAGATCCTCCAGCATCATCAACATGCTGCCCTGTTATTTTTTTCTCACTCTTTCTAGAGTTTATACTCTAGTTTATAGGACCCCTGCCTGCGTCATGAACATTTCTTGAGCATTGGGTAGTTGTTACTATTATTTCTTACAGGATAATATTGGCCATCTTCATCATCTGACATACTTGACTTGACGTATTTTAATGACTGCAGTTTATTCTGCCTTATTAGGGTTCTCTGACATCTTGGAATCTTTGGGAAGTGAAGATTGATGGGTTGGTGTAGTGGAAGGATGTGGAGACGTGGATGCAAAAGAGAGGTGCTTGGGTTCAAGAATGAGGATAGAGAGATAAAGGGAAGATTGGACTTTCTGAGAGAAGTGGGACTTGGTCAATACGGGGTTAGTCATGCAGAGAGAATGAAAGGATGAAGGTGTTTACAGAAAGAGTTAGCTTCAGTGGGAAGGATTAGGTTATTCTACTTAGAGTGTCTTGATGGATAAAGAGTATTATCTATGGAGCTTGGAGGAACATTAGAAATCATCTAAGTGGGCTTAAGAAACCAGTGTGTGTGTGTGTGTGTGTGTGTGTGTGTGTGTGTGCGCGCATGCATGTGCATGTGGGTTAGAGTAGGTAAAGATGGGTGCAATGAGGAGGACACGAAGTGAGATTAAGTCCCAGTGTCCTCTAATTCTAATCATCTTTTCCATCTGCTGCTCCACTGTGAATCCCTTCTGCCTGTCCCTCCTTAATTCTTGTGATTGCTGGTCTGGCTCCACCCTCTACTGTGACAACATGGGATCAGTACCAAAGGTGGGAGGAAGAGAGGGAGGCTGTTTTGGAGAGACAGTATTAAGGCTAGCAAATGATACTCTAGAATGCTCTTTTCCTAGTGGCTCCTCTTCCCTTTTCTGCATCATCAGCATTAGTTTGGCAGCATTTTAGGTCTTGGGAGAAGGAAGCAGGAACTGGCTTTTAGAATTATAAGATAGAAGAGTGTTCAAGTTCTAAAGATGCTTCAGGACTATCTAATTAATAACACTCCTTTGTTGAAAGGATGAAAAATACAACAAAACAAAACTCAGAAGTTACGTGAGTTTCTGTGTGTACACAGGTAGCTAATAAATGGGTTACCAGTATTGGATGTGAAGGAGGGAGGTAGTACCCTTAGGGGTAGGAAAAATAAGAACCACTCCCAATATTGCCCAGCAATATCCAGTTTGAGGAATTCCTCACTCTTGCATATCACAGAGTGGAAAGGTCATTTCTCCTACGTGGGCATGGATGTTCTCACTGGGAACAACTTTTTTGCCTATAATTATTCTAATGCCAGTATTACACGTGCCTGCTTCTGCATCCTACAGGTCCCCTATTCACTTAGAGTTTTTGCAAAGACTGACCTACAAGGATTATCTTTCACAGAATAGTATTCATGTCAGATTGAGTTCTATGGTCGCTCTCCACTCTGAAGTGCTATGGTGTGCAGTCTTCATCTCCCAGGGCCTTGTAGAAGTCTGGAGTAGGTTGTCTGTGGGATTACAGAACTGGCAGCTACAGTGAAAATTGGGGGGAGCAGCGAAGGGGAGTGGAGAGAAGGCAGATTTGGCCTCCCGGATGCCCCTGTCCACTCAGCAACAGCTTGGATAGCTGGGGGTGTGGAATGTGGTGCTGGCACTGGTGCTGAGTTGAACACAGCTGTGTGGGCCCTGGGCATTCCTTTTTCTACACTCCCTCTGCTCTGGAAGGCAGGGCCCTGGGAAGGGATTCAGTCTGCAGTGGGATGAATCTTACTCACCTGTGAGAAGATAGCAGCACCTATAGGGGAAGACCTTAGAAGATACACCTCAATATCCACTCAGATTTTGCTTTGTACTCTAACTCTTCTCCTCTGAATGACTTTTATCAGTGCATTCTGTGCAGGTTTCCACATTGCATTCCTCTTCAATTTTCCACCCAACTAAACTAGTACTCTTTATACTGCTTCCTCCATTATCTAATTTTAATTAACAGAATCCTTAACAATAACCTCAGTGTGCATTTTAATTCTAACCTTAATTGAATCTTAATTTCAATCCTAACCCTAATCTATTACAGACAGTAACTACTAACCCTAATACAAAACCACAATTTTAACTAATACAGACCAGAATGACTTCTAAATTTCTGAATTGCTGGAAAGCATATTATTATTATTATTATTATTATTATTATTATTATTTTGGCTTAATTTTCAAAATAAATAGTGGTACAAAATAGAAAACAAACAGGAATCCAAATATCTCTGCCTAGAAATCCTACTGACATTGCAAAACATTAAAGCAATTTCCTGATAAGGTGAAAATATTCAAAGTATAGAAAGAATAAGCTGCAGAGAAAAGCCTCATCTTCTTCCCAGAGTAGCCATATTGCACAACCCCAGGGGGCATTGTTCTAATTGGAGTTGTGTAACACAGCAGTGCTGCCTCCCACAGCTTTTTAGAAAAGCAGATAAAGTCAAGGTAAATATCTACCAAACTAAATCATTCTCTATATGTGTAGGACTTAGTCATGACAATCACTAGACACTTGGAATTTATAACAGCAGTAACTATCAAGGGCCAGGCTTTCTTCTAAGCTATTTACATCTATGACACATTTTGATTGTCATGAGTCCAGTGTTCAGTGTTTGATCCCCCTACTGCAGATGAGAACAGCAAGGCTTGAAGAAGCAAAACAACTGGCTGGGGAACAGAGACAGTGCAGGAGAGCACAGGCTTCAGATGCAGACATGACACAGACCAAAGTCTCAGTTCTTAACCATTGCACATGGCCAGGAAGGCTTCTTAAGGAGGAGGTTATCTGGTCTTGGTTCTGAGGGTAAGTAAGGGAGCTGCTGGATGGTAGACAAGAAGATGACCCAGGACGTTGGCCTTGAACCAATATAGGAGGAGACAACGCAGAGGGGAGGGACCTTGATAACTAGATTACAGAGGAAAATGAGTAAACAGTAAGAGAGTAATAGGGGAATAGAACAAATACGAGCAGAGACTGGGGAAATTTTTTGTGGTAAGTCAAGCAACAGTAAAATCAAGTAATAAATATACGTGTCACTATTGCTCCAGCTACAGGCTGATTGATGTATGATGGAAAGGCAGCAGACACATATAATCATCTGCAAACAAAAATGCACATTTGCAGTTACATGGGAATCTGTAGCTTCTCTAAAGAAATATCTGCACA